GTATCTGTCACCAGATGGGGAGTTTCTAGAAAGTTTCTTTCTCCTTCCGGATTCCTCCCTTAGCTATCAGAACAGAGAAGGGGCTGAGAATCACGTTCCCCTTCCTCAACTCACTCTAGTGAAAACACAGGAATCTCAACCTAACCCAGTCCTCATGACTGACCGATAGCAGCTTCAAGCCTCCAATCTGTCCAGTATGCCGAAGGTGGGGACCTCTGCACAGATCAACCAGCATGCCACACCTGGGAGAAAGAAGGGGCCAGTGAGGCGTCTGCAAATTCCTGAGCTTCTAAGTTTCTCCCTCTCAGGGTATTTAGCTGACAGAAAGAGAAGTAAAGAACTATTCCACAGAGAGAGCAGTGAGAGATAAAAATCAAAGCCCATTTCTTTTTGGGAGCACCAGAATACCTATCTTCTTTCCCTCACCCCATCCCTGGCCTTCCTGAGTGCATCCCCACCTCTCCCTGTTCCCCTCAGTGTCAACAGCTCTCACCCATACACTGTTGCCGTTGGACCTGTCACTTTCTCCTCAATCAAGCGAAGCTTAAACGGGTTATCCTGGAAGAAGGGGAGAGTGAGGACAAGCCTTCTTTCTCACAAAGTCGTCCTGGAGGGAACCACTCCTCCCCTCACACCTCTCGACCATTCTCCTAAACCTGTGCGTCTCCACCCCACCTTGAAGAGCTGGCGAAGCTGAGCCCGGGAAGCCTCCAGTCTCCGGAAGGGCTGAGCAGCAGCTGCAAGTTCCTGGCAGATCCGTTCCAACACGGGCAGCTCTGAGCCCTTGACTGTCCTGGAGAGATGAAGGATGGCTGGCTGACCTGTCTGTTAGGGAGCAGCACCCGGGTGACACAGCTGGGTACCGGTTAGGGGGTGAAATCCTGCCCTCTGAAACATCTAAAGTTACTGGCAAAGACAAACACACTATGGGAGGACAAATAGGAAATCAGGTAAAAAGCTTACAGCTGGAGGAAAACAGCTCTAGGTACGAAATTCAATGTTGCATGCAGGCAATCTGGATAAACAAAACTACAGCAATAGTAATGGGGGATGAAGTAAAAGTTGAATACATAAAGGCTAGAGAAGGTAAGTTTCAAGCTGATTTATTTTATTTTTTTTTAAATTTTATTTATTTATTTATTTCCCCCATTTATTTTTATTAGTTGGAGGCTAATTACTTTACATCATTACAGTAGTTTTTGTCATACATTGAAATGAATTAGCCATGGATTTACATGTATTCCCCATCCCGGTCCCCCCTCCCACCTCCCTCTCTACCCGGTCCCTCTGGGTCTTCCCAGTGCACCAGGCCCGAGCACTTGTCTCTCAAGCTGATTTAGAAAAGGAAGGACATGGACTAATAGAGATGGTGATACCAATGTCACAGCTGAGGCACGGAGGGACCCTGCCTCAAGCTTTCTTTCTCCTCCAAATTGAACATGCCTGAGGCCCCAGAAAAGGCCTCAGAAATCATCCCAGTAAAGAGGTACAAACTTTCAGTTATAAGATGAATAAGGCCTGCGAACTAACAGATAGCATGGTGACTATGGTTGATAAATTCTGTATTGTATAACTGAAATTCTGTAAGAGTAGTTCTTAAGCATTCCCATACATACAAAAAAGCATGTGATAATTTGATTATGAGACTCCTTCCACAGTGTATACACATATTAAATCACCATAAGTATACTTAAAAATTAATTGCAACTCTATTTGTCAATTAGACCTCAAAAAAAGAAGAAAAAAGAGAAAATATGGTGAAATCTCTGAAAAAGAAAGCACCCCAGAATTATTCTCCTCCTTCCTTGCATTACTCACCGTTCCTTTCCTAAGAAGAAATCATGGTAAAAGCCACATTCTGTGCTTGGGCCTTGGCAGAGGACAGCACCTAGAAGCTGTTCAGCTGCTGCCCCCAGGACATGGGTACTGGAGTGCCAGAATACCTGGGTTCACAAGAAAGGAGTTCATGAGCTCACAGCCTTCTCCTTTAGCCCCTACCTCTCTGACCTCAGAAAAGCTGATGTGAACCAGTTATGAATAACTATCACAAAATGTGGCCTCTGAGCTTGGGGGTGACTGCTGAATAGTAAAAGACAAACAAACAACAACAAAACTGAATATAAAAGAAAGAAGGCCCCTAGAAGCAACACACAGAAAAGAGTAAGCCCCACTCCTCACTGCTTTCCAGTTCCAGAGCATAGTAGGTTAGTCAGTTTTCATACCATCCAAGCTGACATGAAAAAGTGGAGGGGAAGCCAGGTCATGTGCCCAGTTGTGTAAGCCACATGAGAATTAAAAACATTCTACTGATGACTTATAATATAGGTCTCAAGAGTTGGGGGGCTAACCGGGCATATTATCTATTTTCAACTTAATTCTTTCCCTTTCACTAGCATAACTGGTTACTGCTTAATAGACCCAGGCTAATTGAAAACTTTCATCTGGGAGTTTCCAGCTTAACCAGGACCAGTCAAGACAAGCAATATGCCGTAGGCCTCCCAACTGCACTTGGAGAAACTGAGGCAAGAGAAATAAACGCTAGAAATGCCCACTTAAACATCTCTTAGTTGAGTAACCACTGTATCCCGAATAAGGAAGTAGCTTACCGCTTTCCCCTGTGCAGAATCGAATGTCAGAAACCTGAGGTCAGAATCTGTCTCCAAGGGCCGCTCCAGATCATAAGGTTCTCCATTCACTTGAGCAGCCACTGCAGTATCTGCCAGGTTTGAACTTCAGCAGTGAGGAATACAGGTAAAGCAAAAGACAAGGTTACAATCCAAAGGCGAGACAGGAACTAATCTCTTAGTAACTCCAAATCTGCAAAGGGGAAACGTGTTAACCAGAGCAATACAATTTATCATTCCTCTCCACCCGCCAAGCCTAATGAATGAAGGTCAGAGACTATGAAACTAATTCAGATTGAAAAGGAATTGGCAGGAAATGCTATCTTGAGGAGGATGGGATAAACAAACAAAGTCTTTTCCCTACTCAAATTGAGAAAGACAAAGCAGAGATATAAGCATTACCCTGGTAGGTACAGAATGAGCCTAGTACCTAATCTGCTGGGCTAGTTGGTAAGGGGTTGTCTTCCATGCCACAGCATCGACTTTCTGACCTCCAGGAAGTGATATCTTAATAGTCCGCTGTTCCTTCTGTGCCATGCTTGCTAACCTCTTTACCTGAGCAGTCCATAGCTCCTCAAAATGGCCAAGCCGCTCTACCAACCAGTGTGGAGGGGTCGGCACAGCTGCCTGGAGGGAAAGATGTTAAGAAGTAACACAGGTTCCAAAATTCCTTCCTGGGATTGGGACCGCGTGAAATTAGAACGTTTAAGTGGCCATGGTCAGAATCCTGGGCCTTTAAAAACACTGGGTGATACAGGGCCCTAGGCTAGGAGCTCTAGGCTCCCCAGGCTGCTAACCCGAGGGAAAAAATGGCGCGTCTAAGGGCTAGGGTAGTCGGGTTGGGGGCCGCTGGCGGGAGCAGAGGGTGTCAAGCAGGGTTAACAGCCTGCACTCTGGGGTTCCGCTGGGCTGGGTCCAATGTGGCTCGGAACTTTTGGGTATCTCACGCACCGTGTGCAGCCCGCAGGCGTATAACCCTGGGAACCGAAGCCGCCGACAACTCTGATATAGCCTCATTTTCCCTCAGTTCAGTCCTACATACTCAAATAACTGATCGCCGCTTCTCCTTCGCCAGATTCCTCATTGACGTCTGGCCCAACAATATCCATGCCTATTGGTTACTACAGCTGCCGCTCCAATCTGGGACCACCCCCAGGAACTCCGAGGAGGAACACCCCACGCAGCACTAGCAGCGGTGTGGGTGGTTCCGCCTGACCGGAAGACCTAAACTGTTACACACTTGGGCAATTCCAGAGACTTGCAGTTTCGGATCAAAAGAGCAGTAAGATATCCTGCGGCTTTGAGGACAGGGGCAGAACAATTTCCCAGAATGCGAGCGGAAGAGAAACAGATCGGAAAGGGTAGTCATTTCCTTTTAACCATACGTTTTCTTTTACACAGTCTTCACTGGCAGGTAGGAAACAGGTAAAAGCATATACTTTGAGATAAGACAGATCTAGTGTTAAATCCTGGGAATTGTGTCATTTTCGGTAAATTAACTTCTAGAATTCCCTAGCGGCCCAGTGGTTAAGACTCTGCTCTTCCCCGGCAGAAGCCACAGGGAACTAGGAGCCCACAAGCCAGGCAATGCGACAAAAGCAGACACTCCCAAAGAAAGTAACTTCTGAACTTCAATTTTCATATCTCTAAAATGGGAATAATAGTTCTCATTTTGAATTGTTAAGGTAATTTTATATTAATTGGCTAATATATTGCATAGTACATAGTAATGGGCAACACTAGTGACAAGCTATGAGAAAAAATGAATATAACCACTTTGGGGCTAGAGCAAAGAATCTGCAGAGGGCATTCTTTGGCGTCCCTTCATACTCATGGTGCTTAAAGAGGGCCCTTTAGAGACCCCTTAATCTTACAGATGAGGAATTTAAGGTCAGAGAAGGTAAGTGGTTTAATGCCAACTGATGCTGGATTCTGAATCCAAGCTTTGTATTCTTCTACCACAACAGACTTTCTCTGGTAATAAGAGTTTACTGCCAATGCAATTCCCCCAACAGCTCAGAAAGAAGTGCCTGACCCTAGAACCTTAGCTCTCGGCTTCTGACCAAGACTGCCTCTAATTTCCATCCTAGCTTTCCTTAGCGCTCCCCGTTATATCCAGAACACAGGACTAGGTGCATTTGATTTGTTTTCTACAGTAAAAATTGAAACACAACCAGATTTGTAAAGTATGAGGGGGAATGGATTTAGGGACAGATGTGAGGTTCTTAGTAATTCCCATTAGTCCCCTCACCTGAGGGTGGGGATGGTTGGTGTTGGTTCTCAAGTTTCCAATGGTGATGTTATCAAGCATTGTGGAGGAAGAGCTGTCATAGAAAGGTGTTTAATCTACGTTTCCAGAGGTTCTGTCTGGGGAGGCAGCAGTTGATCTGAGTCACAGGCACCACTCCGGATCTTGGCTCCATCTTCTGGTATGTTAGACACCCTGAAATAGACAAAGAAATAGACAAGAGTGTGCAAGAGGAAGATTACTTGTATGTGTGTGAGTTTGGGAGAAGGTTGGGAGAATTTTTAAATGGCATTCAGAAGTGTGAGAGCAGGCAGAACTCTTCCCATGGCTCTGCACCAGAAGGGACAAGGGAGTGTTACACTGCATGCAGCAGAACCGTAGCTGCTCTGTAAGTAATTATTAAGAATATACCGATCACTGTGCTGACTTGAAACCCCACAGGACTTGTATACTGACACATACCTTCTTTAATCATTCTACTTTGGGAGGACAGTAGAGGGATGGCGGGATAAGTAGATAATTCATTACAGTAGCTGCCTGCACTCATCCCTCAAACATGTACTGACTACTTCTTATGTGCCATGTACTGAGCTGGGTGCTAGGGGATGCCAGTCAATCAACTGCTACGTCATCACTTATGTGACCTGGTTTGCAATGGAAGGAAGGAATGTCATGTTATTCCATTCCTGCCTGTGTCACAAGCCAGCCAGCAAGCAAGCAGGCAAGAGTAAGCTAGCGAAGGCCAACACATTAATCACTGGGTCTTCACAATTTCTGATCTGTGACTAGCACGTCTCAGCCTCAGAATTTTAGCCAATTAGCCTGTTGGGGAAATATCTGTTGCTAGAACTGCTCCTACCTTCCACCAGAATATTACTGAACAACCACTATGTGCCAAGTGCCATGCTTCACTATCTCACTGAATTCCGAGAACCCCAAGTAGTTCTTCTTATAGTCCCTTTAAAATGTTGAAAATGACTCTCAAAGAAGTCAAGCCCCACTCCATCTGAATGCAGGACCAGTTATATAACATGTTATGCTGTCTCATAGGGACCAGGATCATCACGAAGCAATATGTTTTGTAGCTTATCTTTTCCTCTCCTTTGGGCCCTAAGAGGCCTTTAATAGGGTGGAGAGAAAGTAATAAAAAGCCAAGAAAAGAGGCAAAGAGGCATCTTACCAAATAACCTCTACCAGTCTAAGGTTAAGGAAAAAGAAGAGTTTAGGAAATAATGCCAGGTTTCATGGCAGTCTAGGAAAAAGAACTCCTCAGAAAAGGATACACTACACCCTGAATCAATTTTGAGAAACTCTCAGCTTTACTCCAGTCTTAGAATAGACATCCTGTTAGTTACAGCTTTGGTTGAGGAGGTATTGTTTTTTTATCATCTTTAACTGTTTATAAGAATTCTGCCCATGGAGAGTACAGTACATTTCCCCCTTGTTATCAAGAGCAACACATACCTCCAAATCTTCATTCTTAGAAGCAAAATTTCCCTATACCAAAGAGGTGGAAGAGATATTGGAGGGAAAAAAGAGAAATGTAACAAGGTAAAATACAAGAAAAGTTTATGTCATTGCCACGAAATGCTTTTGAGGCCCAAAGAACTAGCCGAGTGGCTAAAGCTACAGTAGGTGCTGTGGGGAGGTTACGTTAAAAAAATTTCTTTTTCCCCCCAGTAATACAGATTTAGGATGGGGCCAAACTTTAACTTTGCTTTAAATATACTACAAAGAGATAATCCAGCCAACTTTCCTCGATTTCGAGGGGGAAACATCCTACTCAGAGCATGGGGATAAATTGAAAACAAAATCCTGGGCTCCCCTAAAAAGTCTCTACTAAGATTGTCCTTTCCCAAGACATTTCTTGAGTCTGTACAAGAGAAATACAGCCACCACCATGCCTTTAAATGACCCTGGTTGGTCAGCTGGAGAAAATATGAAGTCTCCCAAACATAGGAGCCAGTGTCAACTTAAGTTTGATGCTGAAATAAAGTAACAAAAACAAAGATCTAAGTACCCTGAAGGAAGGTCCTAGATATATTTGTACAAGTATACAACTATGCCCCACTAGCCAAAATCCAAGATTCCAACTTAATACTTTACTGATCTCTACTGCCCTTGGCAACGATTGGCCACCTAGAAAACATGAGACCTTGAGTGTTGCCTTATGTAGGTGCAAAGGATTTCTAGCCAGGGGAGGAGGAAACCGAACTAGATGCTGCCCATCTCCTTTCTACCCATTCCAACTGAAACACCCCAAGAAAAATGTAGGAAGTTTCAAGTCCTATCTCCTCCTTTCCACAAATTAAGTGACAAAGGACTTAATTTTCAAGAAAGGGATCCACTGGGGAAGGGAAAGGAAGGAATGTTGGAACATCTAATTTGCTAAGAACCCCAGCAGATCCAGGGTTGCTGGGTTAGTCAACAGCCTTTTGAGTCAAACACAAAAAAACCTGCAGCCTGTATTTGTTTGTTGTTGGCACTGCTCACTAGCCCCTCCACCCACATCTGTGTTCTCAACTTTTGACGCCTGCTACAGTGATAAAGGAAAAGGATAGGGAGGAAAAATGGAACCATGAGGTAACTGCAATTATCAGCTTCTAAATCAATCTCAGCCTTCCTATCCGGTTCCGTCAAACTTGTAAGTATTGTTTCTTCTGTCCCCCCGACCCCCCAGTTTGTCAGAAATAATTTGACATTTTTACATGGCACTTGCTCCTTTCCTTTGAAGCACGTGTGCTTCTTTCTACTTCTACATGGGGGGAGAACAGGATGTTTACCTAAGAGCCATCTCACCGGTGTCCCTCTTGCAGACTCAGAGTTATTACTCAGCAACTGTGAACAGCAGCTGACCGGACTTGCCCATACGGTTTACTCATAAACAAGTATGAGAAACGCCTCCATACCCTAAAACATACTGTCTACATACATGAGGGGGCAACTCATTCCTTCTACACCATATTGGCCCAAATAAAACAATTTTGTGGAAGCTGTGCATTTTCAACATGCCCAGAAAGGCCAATGAGGAGTTGTAAAAGCTGTTGCTTCCTTGGGATGGGGACAGGAACCAGGTGGCAAGTCCAGGCCCAAGTGGGGACCAGGAAGTAAGGGTGAGCTGGATTCCAGAAGCGGCCAGTGCAGTGTACACCCCTACCTGCTGGGTGTGTTCCTAGACTGTGCTATTTCTGAAGCATCTGGTGACACGTGTGCAGGTTCACGTATTCAAGGCTGCTTATTTAGGGCCTTCTACCCTGCCAGGGATCCAGGCCTGGTCTAGATGCAATGACTCTCTTTACCCCTTTAGCCAACATTCCATTTATTAAGCCTCACTGGGTCATAAAAAGGGATGTGGTGAGAGAGCCACTGAGTGTGGCTTCTGTGACAGGCAATACGCGAGAAGGGTAGATGTGGGCAAAGAATTTGCCAGAAAGATCCCGACTGCCACTACTCCAATTTTATGCTTGCTTTAAAAATATTTTGCTCACAACCATACAATTTTTTGGAAGACGTACAAAATTATCATCCATACGGTATACCCACTTCATTACCAACCACTCCCTGAACATCTTGATCTTGCCCCACCCATTGTCCCTTTCCAAAATTGAACTGCTGTAAAGGACCAAACCAAACCCACAAGGCCATAAAGATCTTAAGAAGCTCAGAATGCCTTCAGTGATATTGAGTGCAGAAGTCAAAGGGGACAGCTGGACAAGATCAGAGGGGAAAAGTCAACCACACAACAAAGGAAGCCATACTTTATTAAACAGGAAAACAAAAACATAATATCGGGGGCAAAGAGATTAAAAAAAAAAGGAATGGCTGGAAGAGAGGAAAGCGCAAGCGGTCGCAAGGCAGGCTTGAGATGGGGGGTCTTTGGCGTGTGTTTGCCTCAGACCTGTGCGGGTGCACACACACCAGCCCCTCTACCCTCCTTGCACGTTTAGACCAAAAGCAAATACAACTGTATCTTCAGAGATATATTCAGGCTTTTCTTCCTGCATTCCTGTAGCTGGTTTCACCTTCAGCCCTGGACAGTCATGGAGGGTCTTTGCTGGAGAAAATTTAGGTCTTTCCAACAACAGGCCTGTTCCACAAAGCAGCAGTTTCAGCTTCTGGAGAAGTTCCCTCCTATTTGCACTCACCAGAGAAGTCAGGGGCCCTTGGTCAAAGCCCCAAATCTCAAAGAAAAGTGTCAAACCTTTAGAACTAGTTATTTTATTAAATGATATTAATACACATTTCAAAAGGATTTCATTGTTGTTGCCTCTAAAGCATGTACTTGTTTTGTTTTCCACACTGAACACGTGAGAATATCAATCCAACATATCTAATTTAAATCTTAACAGGCACCCCAGCCCATTCAAAAAAAGGGGGGGAGGGAGGCAAAAAGGAGAAAAAGCAGTAATTTACAGCGGCTTCAAAACAGTAACAGCTGAAGCTTACTTCTGCATGAACCAGTAACTTCAGGACTGATAGTGAATATTCTGCAATTAGGAGTTTTAGCATATTCACATTATCTAGATAGGTTTGCTGTACCATATACATCACAAACATTGTATTCCTGGGACTGGAAAGGATAAAAGGCCTATTCTCTTATCATTTTACCCTCCCTGGAAACAAACCAAATTCTATGTATTCTCAACAAAATTTGGGAGGGCAAATGGGAGCAAGGATAGAGGTTGAATCTAAGCTGACTGAAGAGTAAACTTTTACAGAATATTTTAGGACTCAATTTCTGATGTTGTATCACTGAATTTTAAGTGGTACCAGTGTACTCAGGCCCCACCCACCGATTCTGTCTGTGATTTTACAGTGAGCACCAAGAACCTTAGTAACAACTTCGCATTATCTGTTTGCATACTGAATCATGTCCTTGCCAAGACACACTATGCTATGCTTTTTTAAAAAATCTGGTTCTCAGGTTGAAATACAAAAGAGCATGGGCACGGAGGTTTAAATCACAGACACAGAAAGAATAAAACCCCTTTGTTTCATGTTATGAATACCAAATTGTCTTGTTTCACTATATCACATATATACACATCGTTGTCTTCACTGACTGCTGTAGGCAGATGTCCTTAACGTTAACAAGCAGCTGACAGTTACATACAAATCCTCATTTCCATCCTGAAACAAATGGATTTTGTGGCTTAAAAAACCAAAACACACTCCACAGAAACCCAACCCTTGAAGTCCATCTTTTAAAACTGTACAAGGTCTTCCCTTTCATGTACTAGCTATCAATGTTCTGAGGACAATTAACCTGCCCCAACATTCAGGACACCACTTTGCTGACCAACCCCCCATTTTCTGATAAAATCAAATGGTCAGAGAGCCTTTTCAAGTAAACACTACTTTTAGATTAATTGAGAGCAGCAGAAAGAATTCACATTCTATTATTCTAGAATGAAAAACATCCCATTTAATTTTCTGCAAAAGAAAAAAAAACCTATTTCAGTTTTGAGCTAAAACTTTCTCTCTTTACCTCCCCCCACCCCACTCTCACACTCTCTTACACTTTTCTCTAAACAAATGTCTTAGGACTCAGTGTAACTGTATTGTTTCTTTGCTTTGCTACACTATATACCCCATCCTACTTACAAGGTCCTGGTATCATGCATTTTTTTTTTTTTTTTTTTGCAGGGAGAGCTACAGGGCAGAGAGGCTTAAGAAGGTCAAAGAAAGAACAGCTGGCTTAAGACCAGAAATGCATCAGGAAGATGGAGGACTTGCAAGATCCTAACCACAGAAAACATGGAGAGTGCAAACAAATAACATGGAATAAATTACACAAAAACTCCCAAACTATGATGCACACCTGGTTTGAGCTGCTCTTTTACCTGCAAAGCATGCTTATTCTGAGACAAAGACTCATCTTCTGTCACTACATTTTCCACGCTCTCCCATATATAAAACTTAACTGGGGGAATCCAATGCAACCCCCATACTTCCTACAGTTACTTCTACACTAACTTGGAAGAAAATATGAAACTTGCTAGGATTTCCTTTAATAGTCTTTTACTCATCTGGCTGGAGATTACCAGTGTGTACTTTAAGGGTAAGACACTAAATAAAAAAATGTAGTAAAGCAACATTTGCTTTTCAGTGTCCCTAAACACTCTAAGCGCAGTGATTGTCTTTTCCCAGGACTAGCTGTAGAAATACAAATAAGGAGCCTTTCAGTTCAGGGAGAAATAAAGCACTTTTTTTCCCCCCATGTAAAATGACTAAGGGCATAAACATTTTCTATTGAGAGTGGGAGGTGAGGATGTTTGAGCCTTGAAATGTGACAGGTTGCTATCCATAGAGTGGGGTAAATTTAAATTAATCAGATCCTCCTGTTTGTCTGCAAGGATATGTATAATATCCAGTTGTCACTAAGACAGAGCTAAAGAGGTATATAAAGAAAGATGCTACTGAACTTCCTCCTTCAGAATACCAAGAAGAGGGGTGAATACAGGACTAGGTCCAAAGAAAGATAAAGACAAATATTTCCCTTTCCCCATAGTTAACTTTTGGTGACAACCACCAACAAATGTCACATTAGGGAGGCACCATGGTAAAAATGTCTACTTAAAAAAAAAAAAATACTGGGATAATATCTGAGAATGTTTCAGTTGCACCTCTGTATCTACTGTCAACTACAGTGACTTTCTGGCTAGACTAGAAATGTAGACGAGAAAACTGAGGGAGAAAAAGTCAAGAAAAAAAAAAAAAAAGCAGGAAGCAAGAGCTTGATGCCAGATATGTGAAACCACCTCAGAAATATGTTTATGACAGATGGGCAGGTCAGATCACACCATCAATGGCTCCTTTCTCTCACTCTCTGTATTGCAGTTACTTATTCTTTTAATTTTAATATACCTGGCCCCCTTTCTTCTACTCAAAGGAGGAAAATTCTTTACTAGGATAAAATGAGGTCCATCCAAGTTGCTGCCTGATAGTACTTCAGAAGAGGCTGAATTAAAAAACAAAGGCTTAGACTTTGGGAGAAAGGTCAAGAAAATATGCCTTTTAAAACAAAAGAAAACCCCCAAATAACTTGACAGGTCCAAGGTCTCCCACATTTCCTCCCCTGCACCATCTCTTGGCTGTCAGCAGGCCACAGGGCACACGGGGAAGACAGCCACCCCGGTTACAGCAGTTAGCTGAGCTGGAGAGAGAAGGGGACGAGTCCTTCCACTGACTCCTTGAGAAGCCAAGCCCCAAATAACATCCCAACATTGCACATGGTATTAGCTGTACTGATGGAAGTTTTATTTCAAATGTAGTAATACTCTTCAATAGATGGGGTAAAATAAGATTTGTTTTCCAAACCCCCAGCCAAATGAAGTGGCTTTAGTTGTGTTTCTTTGCCCCCCCACCCCCTTAAAATACAAACATCTTGGAAAAGATAGGTATAAGTGCAGTGGGAGGGAGGACTGGATGGAATAGTGAAATGTAAGCATATATAACTTTTTAATTTGGAAGGGAGGTCCTTTGTTATAATAAAAAAAGAAAGAAAAAATAGATCAAAGGAGGGAAAACAAATAAAAACAATGATAATAAACCAAACTCCTACTTCCAATGCTCTCTACTGTTCAAATGCCTTTCCCTTAGTTTCCATCAGTACCTGGGAGGGAAGAATGGGCGTTTTGGTGCAAAGAACGGAGGGCCCCTAGCGAAAGGTGGCCTGGGCCTCTTTAAACTGTGGAAAGGGTCTCTGCTGAGAAAAGGCTCCCTAGGCCGGAAGTCGGGCCGGGGACTCCGCAAGATCATACCACTCCGGTTGATGGCGTCTCTGTGTGAGGGACCCAAGGGGGGGCCACCGCTGCTGTTGCTGCCTCCCCCACCTCCTCCTCCATGGGCTGCGCCCAAGTGCTCCAAAGAATGGGAAGGCAGGCTCAGGCTCTCGCGTACACGGCTAAGGCCGGGGCCGTTGAGGTCCCGCTGAGAGGGGCCCCCATGGTCCCTGGGTCCTGGGAGCACACCGAAATGATCAGCCAGGGTCCCCTGAAGGAGGGAACTATGGTCCTTGGGAAATACTGCCACAGCCCCCGCCACTCCGTGCTCTGCCAGTGGTGGGGCCTGGAAGGGTACAACCCCAGAGTGGTCACCAGGAGGTGGAGGAGGAGGAGGAGCAGAAAAAGGGACGCCACTCCCGCCACTGCTGCTATGTTCCCCGGGGGGCGGAGGAGGGGGTGGGGTGGGGAAAGGAACTCCGCCGTGCTCCCCAGGAGGTGGGGCAGCGTGGGCCAGGGCTGCCTCCTTTGCGAAGGGGTTCGAAAGATCCACAGAGGGTAGATGAGTAGGTGCATCTCGAGAGAAGATACCACCATGATCCTTGGGAGGGGCGGGCGGGGCAGATGATGGCCCCACTGGCTCTCTCTGGAAGGGTGTCCCATGATCCAAGGGGGATGGGGGGAGATGATGCTCAAATGTTGAGTTGAAACTGCTGGATCGGAAGCTGCCGACACTCTCCTGAAACTGGGGTGCTCGTTCTTTGTATGGTGCTGTTTTAAAGCCAGTGAGGCCTCCGCTGCCCCCACCCCCAAGGGATGCCAACTCAGAGGCACTTGAGGGGCCATTGTCAAAGGAGCCACCTGAGGTGCTCAGATCAAACCAACCCACCCTTGAAGCCTCACGCCCATGTCCTCTATTTCCCTTCCCAGGGACTCGGATGGACTCTACAGTCTGTATGGGCTCCCCTGACATCCTCCTATTGGATGCATTATGATAACCCAAGGTTTCTATAGGGGCCCCCTTCTCTTCGGTACTATCAGGCAAGTCTAAGCAGGAGGAGGAGACTCGAGTCTCTATGCGATAGTGCTCTTCTTGTTGCTGCTGATCAGCGGCTGTCAAGCTGAGCTGGGCGAGGTTTGACAGGCTGACACCATCACTTGAAGTGCCCTTGTTGGGGGCCTGGCCAAAATGTTTATCATCTGAGGGCTTTCGTGAGGCATTCTTAAGCATATTCTTAAACTCAATCGTCGACGTGGTGGAAATGGTAGAGGCCAGGACTTTCTCCACGCCTGACGTGGGTGGGTGGCCCGTGGGAGCGGCAAGGGTATTCTGCGGAGAGAAAAGGGACCGATGTGGGACTGGGTGAGGAGAGTCTGGGTACTGCTTCTGCGGCAAAGTGATATGCCCTGTGGTAGACTGAGACAAGCTATTGTGGTTGGAGTCAGGGGTGAAAAATGAATCATTCTTACTCGGTGATGGTGACCGGTCAGACCCCGCTTCATTCCCTCTGATGCCGAAGGCACTGAACAGCCCAGGGGAAGACGAAAGCCGGTCACAGTTCTCACTAGAGTCCAGGAGGGCCCTCACAGACGGAGGGAAGGCAGACTTTACCCCAAATTCTTGACCCCTGTGGCTATAACTGGACAGGATTGGCTGGTACTCAGTGGTATCAGAAAGCTTGCTTGATTTCAGGATAGACTTGGCTGGTTTCTTCTCTAGGTTCATCATGGCAGATGGTGGAGGCCCTGAATACTCGAAATCTCGGTAATCTTCATCTTCCTGGAAAGAAGTATCTGGATAAAACTTCTCCTGTGAAGAGTCCATCAGAGAAGACGGTCTCTCCATTCCATCAGAAGGCTGCTTATAGGGGGAGTCACTGCCCAAGCCAAAGGGCCGAAACGTAGACACAGAACTGGAGAGCTCTCGGGGGAAGCTTTCCTCTCTCCCAGGGGGTGGTGATCTTGTACTGCTGGGTGTTGAGGAACCAGGGCTAATGATCTTAGAAAGCAAGGACATGGTATCCACACTGCTGGATGTGGGCTTGTCCATCATCTCATCCTGAGTGGGCGTTCCACTCCGTTCATCCCGTACCGGGGTTCCATCAATGTTGTCGACTGACGTGCTAGTAGGGCCACGCTGGAAGTCTGATGGATGGCTTTCAGTTGGAGCAGTGGATCCCAAACTGCTCAGGATTGGGATGTTTAAGTTTAAGCCACTGAAACCAGGATTACCTTTTAAGAAGTTGTGGATCTTCATTTCCAGGCTTGGGGAGGTGGACTCTGACTCCAGCTTTGGCTTGGAGGCCTCTGAGGATTGGCACATGGCAACTTCAGTAGGCGGAGCAGCAGGGCTAGCATTGTGGTTACCTGTGAACCCCAGAGTGTTGGAGGGGAGCTTGAAAGTAGTGCTTGGGAGCCCTGGGCTTTGCCCAATTGAGGCCTTGCTGGCTGAAGTTGACGAGACTTCAGAAGTTGAGGAATTAGGAGAATAGTTGAAGCTTTTGGGAATAAAGGACTGGGTATTGGAGGGCAGGTTTCTTCCTTTTATGCTAGAGACTGTGGTGTTAGCAGGGGAAGCTGAAGTGCTCTGGGGTGCAGCTTCGCTGGATGGAACTGGGTTCCCAGTAACACTCTGAAGTAAAGATGACAGGCCTGTAGAAACAAAGATTAGAGAAGTTAAGAACAACAACTCCCTACTTTCCAATGTAAACAATGTAGGCTAATCAGATATTCTCATTCATTCCAGTGGGAACTAGACAGACATTAAAATATGAGATCAAAGGGAATTCAGACCAAACAAGTAATGGCTTATCAATGTAAGGAGAGCAAATTACTGAAATGTTTCTAGTAGTCATGAAACAAGGCCAACATGGCAAAAATAAAAGGCAACAGGAAGAGGGAGATTTTAGTGTCAGAATCACTCAGAGTTTAAACAAGACAAAGCAGGAAAAGAAAGGGGGCATAATTATCTGTAAAATAACACTTTAAGCCAGTACTTCTTAATGTTTGGTCTGCAGAATTGTTTCTCTAAATGCAAATAGATATTCTGCCCTATCCTTCCTTTCCAACTTCCGCAACTGTCTCTAATAAGTTAAGGTACAATTATTCTTAGGACAGAGAGAACGACATCCAAATTGCAGGGACTTATGTGACTTGTGATGCTTTTTTTAAGAAGCATATCTTGCTGGATTGGTGTTATATTTGGGGAAACAAGGCTTCAGTTGTAAAATTTTTAGTTGTAAAATGTAGCAATAATATACAAATATACACCACAAAGCTTATAGAACTAGACCTTTGGGGACACTGATCCTTTGACAAGAAGACACACAATCCCCTTCTTATAGCTTGGAAAACTCAAGGATTATTGGTCTATACATGTTGACACTGACGAGATCCAACTCTACTCGATGACAGACAAAACATGCTCAGAACACCAAGAAAGAATTCTTTGGGGCCAAAGGCAGGCTGAAGTCCACCAAAGCAAACTGCTCCTGTAGAAAATTTCTTGAAAAAATATTTGATAAAGAAATAACAGAAGGTTCTTTATTTAAAATCCAATCACATTTTGGAAAATTTACTCAATTTCTGATCACAAATGAAAATTTTACATACACTTCACCTGAATCAATAGCTTTCAGTCATATACTAAAACTGTTCCTTCATAATGATATATGAAAGAAAATAATATTTCATTTGATATTTCAATTATTGTTTCTTTAAAATTTCAATTTTTATCCTTACTTGCTAAGAGATTTAAGGTCTTAAAAATTTTAAGACTGTTCCATTCTTTGCAGCATTTTCAAATGCCACTGACTTTTAAACAATGATGCATGGTTTTTATTATTATCCAATATTTGAAAATATCCAAAAAATTAAAACACTATTTACTTCCATTGCTATCCTCCTGAAAAAATATCTGTGTTTAATTTTCAAAAATCTCCCTGGCTATACAATTTTCCTCTTCTTAATAGTTTGATTTAATTCGTAACAGCAACTGCTTTTACCAAAATCAGAAGTCTTGAAGCACTGGAGAGTGACAAATAATATCATACAATTTTAAAAAGATATTTCAGCATATCTTTCAGAGGTTGTGAAATGAATTCTTCAAGAGATCATCTTCTTAACATAGATACTACTCAGCTTTCTGGTAATAGGGGAAGTATTACTCTCTTACCACTAAATATTACTTTACTTCAATCTTAAACCATACACTATGGTGTCTGCCCACTGAAGTCATTCTTCTGTGCTGAAAACATCACTAAGGGCTGTAGGTGAAATACTGTGAGCAAAGTTCTAAGAGATTTCCTTTATGGTTGTTGAAGAAAGGTATCTTAAAGTTGTCAGACACAGTCCTTTTAAAAGGTAAGGAGAATTCCACTTTCCATGAGGAACTCAAAGGTGGTGAACTGCCCTGTTACTCCACAAAGTTTTTCTTCTAAGAGTCCCACTTTTTATTCTGTCACAACACATCTAGTTCTGTTCAAATTTTGCCTGATTAGAAGGTCTACATGATATTGTTTTAACAATCTGCCCAAAGAAAAAGCTTCTTAAGATCTATGTATTATATCTATATAAGAAGTTAAAATACAACTGAGTTCTGTAACTACAGAATGGTAATAGAAGAGAAACTAGAAAGGAGAAATCATCAACCTGCCAATCTCTCAAACTACTTATCCCTGAAATTAGTAGTGTGAGTTGCACTGTAGCATATCATTAATTCTTTTGCTGGAGCCAATATGTAGAGATGTGGCTTGTTATTTAGTAGTATTTAGTCATGTGTAACAAAATTCTCTTATATTGTAAGACAAAGCTCACTCTAATACAGTGCTTGGTGGATCCACTTACAGAAGTATAGGAACTAAGAAAACGAATAGATACCTGTACTGCTGCTCTCTATTCATAAAAAGCGGGATCTCAGCAACACTGACATTCTGGGTTGCATACTTTGTTGCTGGGGTTCTCCTATGCATTGTAGGATTAAGCAGCATCCCTGGCTTCTACCCATCAAATGGAATAGCTCCCCACCTCAACCCCAGTTATGACAAACAAAAATGTCTTCAGACACAGCCAAATGTCTCCTGGAGACTTCTGGTTAAGAACTACTGATGCAGAGTAAATCACTATATTGAAGCTGTAATTCACTGCATAATTATACTCAGGTTGGTATTTGAAGGATCTGAGAACAAACAGCAAGGTAAGCTTTATGAAAAAATGTTAGAAGCAAAAAAAAAAAAAAAAAGCTGCAGCAGACAGTTTTAGGCACAAAACATAATTAGCAAAGCTGAATAGAGAGATTTAAAAAGTCAAGAGATAATAGGTAGGTTTCCCTGGTGGGAATCTGCCTGCAATGCAGGAGACCTGAGTTTGATCCCTGGTTTGGGAAGATCCCCGGGAGAAAGGAATGACAACCCACTCCAGTATTCTTGCCTGGGAAATCCCATGGAAGGAGGAGCCTAGTGGGCTACAGTCCACAGGGTTGCAAAGAGTTGGACATGACTGAGCAACTAAAACATTCCCTTTCAATAGGTAGTCAGAAAACAGAAGAAAAAGGTATGACATCTATAGAGGCCATTTGGACATAAAAAAGGAGATAATCATGTCTTTGAAGATTTCTGATAGTAGACTGATCTTTTTTGTTGTTTTTAGTTTCAGTTAACATTATATAAAATTCAACACACACTCACCTATACTAAGAGTATGGGATAAATAAGTGAAAGAATACTGGACTCCAGTCAAGAAATCTGGCTTTTAGTCTCAGTTCCTCTAAAAAGACCGATGTGTGACCTTAACCTGGTCACATCACCTCACTGAGCCTCAATTTCCTCACCCAAGGAGAGGATTAGACTAGAGCATATTTAAAGTCTTTAAGTATTCTTGACATTTCAAAATTCTATAAATGACAGGTCATATATGACAAAGAGAATCATGAATTAGCTGTATTATATATTGCATGGCTTTAGATTTCTCAGAAATGGTATCCAGGATTAAGCCAGAGACAGACATTCAGAGTTCAAACCCCTCTGGCACACGTCAGTTTACCTTGCAGTGCAGGGGCTGACTGTGTCTGGGTTTTGGAAAGAGCAGACAAAATGCTCTCTGGGGTGATCTCCACCTTCGAGAGGATATTTGCCAGAGGGTTGTGAGATGTTGCTGTGGCGGGTGCAGGTGTTTTCAGGCCACTGGTGAGGTTGCTCGGGCTTGTAGGAGTTCCTGGAGAAGGTCTTGATGCAGGACTGACCCCTGGTGGCAGAAAGATCAACTCAAGAATATGCAATTCAAAATGACCTTTAAATGCACGACACTTTCCAGTCACTGAATTGAGTCTGATATGTCTCACAGGAATTCTTCTGTGCATGATCCACTAGTTGCCCATTGCATATACAAAGAAAAAATCTGAAAATTAAGACTTGTTCCTGTCTACTTGGAACACCATTAAATTAGACAAATATCAAGTTTTTTTTCATATGTATTTACTAGCCGTCAGAGCCCCAGTAGAAAGAGATTGGAGAACCTGTTCCTTTTTTCTCTACCAAATGAAACCTACACATCAGACTTCTTTAAGTATTCAATAAATATTGCTGGTTAATTATGATCAGACTTGGTTACTTCATGATTCTATGAGATAAATAACTTATTTCCTTTCACATGGACTTTTCATACAAGCAATCTTTACATTTTAACATTGTGAAACACTGGGTTAATTTTTAACAGGAAAAAAGGTATATAAAGAGAAAGTCAGTTTTATTTTTTAATATAAACAGGTATTAAATACAGAAAAACTTTCAGATAAACAAATGAAAGAAATTTTTACATATTTAATGAAAGGAATGCAGATTCCAATAAACAATTTTTTCTAAGACTGAATTTGACAAAGTATAAAACAAAACTAAATCGTGTTGGAAAGATTGATAAACAATGGGAACTTTCATATAGCTGGTAGACAAAACAGTACATCTTTTGGAGATTGTTTTAGTTATAAAGAACTTAAAAACCTACATGCTGATTTTTTTGAGTCTTTATCTTTTAGAAATAAATATTTAATTATTTATGAAGAAATGAAATAATTGGGCTTTTCTTCAAAATAATCAGGACTGGAGAAGACACAGGAGGAACAAGATTGGCCATGTGTTTATACTGTTGAAGATGAGTGATGAACATATACAAGGGCTCTACTTCGTATATTTTCATTAAGATTTCCATTAAAAAAAAAAAGTCCTATTTAAAATTCCTTTTAAGAAGGGTTGTGCATACATTTTTAGCATCAAGGTTGTTCATTAAGTATTCTTTACAACAGTGAAAAACTGCAAACACACTAGATGGTCTAATAATAAAGGCTTATATAAACTACTGAATGCTGTATAGCTATCAGATGATGTAGATGAATATTTAATGACTTACAAAAATGCTTATGATATGGAGTTAAATTTTTAGTAGCTGATTTCAAAACAGTACAGTTGTCCCTCAGTATCAATGGGTGGCTGGTTTCAGGACCCCTGAATATACCAGAATCTGTGGATGCTCAAGTCCCTTGTAAAACGGCATAGTATTTGAATATAACCTATGCTCATCCTGTACCTATGTGTGCATATATTTATTTACCATGCCACATGGCTTGCTGGATCTTAGTTCCCCGATCAGGGACTGAATCTGGGCCATGAAAGTGAAAGTGCCTAGTCCTAAGCACTGGACTGCCAGAGAACTCCTCATTCTTCCATATACTTTAAATCATCTCTAGATTTAGTTATAATACACATTACAATGTAAATGCTATGTAAGTAGTTGCCAGGGCAGGGCAAGTTCATGTTTTGTTTTTTGAAACTTTCTGAAAAAAATTTCCCCCCAAATATTTTCAATCCATGGTTGGTTGAATCCATGGATGTGGAACCTGCAGCTGCAGAACTCATGAATATGGAGAACCAACTGTATATGCAATACACTTCAACTATTTCCCCTCCCAATGCTTCAATTACTGACAGAAAAATTAATGCAAATATTTTACTTCCCAAAACACACATATATATGCACACACACACACATACTTGAAAGGTTAATAAACGGAAGTGAGTTCCTTTGGGGTGGCAGAACTATGAATATTTATTCTTTTAACTTATTTTCTAATTTTTCTATAGTGACCATGTATTGCATTTTTATTTTTTAATTAAAAAATTACTTTTAATTAGCAAACAAAAACAAAACTCAGATTGATGGTTCAATTAGAAAGATAGAAATAAGTTTTTATTATTACTAGGCCTACTCACTGGTATTTTTTTTTTTTGCACTAATTTATTTTTGTTTCCCATTTATTTTTATTAGTTGGAGGCTAATTACTTTACAATATTGTAGTGGTTTTTGCCATACATTGACATGAATCAACCATGGATTTACATGTGTTCCCCATGCTCAACCCCCCTCCCACCTCCCTCCCTATCCCATCCCTCTGGGTCGTCCCAGTGCACCAGCTCAGAGCACTTGTCTCATGCATCCAACCTGGACTGGCGATCTGTTTCACTTACCAGTATTTTTCATGACTGATGTCAGGCTGCTAAGGATGGAACTGATCTTTGCCAGATCCACATTAGCTAGGTTTGGCAAAGCCAATGCTGGAGTAGGGGAGAGAAGAGATGTATTCACAGGCTTTGGAACAGGTGGGGTTGCTGTCAAGGTCACAGGTGCTGGAGTACATGAAGAGGCCTTTGAGATACTTTCTGTTGGCTTTGTAGGTACAGCAGTGGATACAGTCGACTTCTCCACAGGTTTCTCCTTCCTGTCCTCTACTGTTTAAAAAAAAGAAGAGAGATGATATTGCATCCTACTGCTTTCCAGACTCTGCTTCCAATGCAGAATCACATGTCCTAATATTTCCTAAAATGTACTGTCATTTATTAGAGAAAAATCATTCATTCATGATTTTTTTTTTAAAAAAGTCATACTCTTTAATAATTCATGAACCTTTTCATCTTTAGTATCTGCTTAAACTGAATTTCCCAAATGCATCTTTTTCTTTAAAATTTATTTATTTGGCTGTGTTGGGTCTTAGTTGTGACATGTGGGCTTATGTCCTGAGACACGTGGGATCTTACTTCCTTGACCAGGAATCGAACATGCATCCCCTAAGGCAAACTTTTGGCTACTGGACCACCAGGGAAGTCCCCCTAGAGCATCTTTTATTTTACTTTTTAATGATTTCTTCCATATTCTTAGTATCTGTGTACTGAATTTGTACACTTCTGGAAGCATGTTATTATTTGGTACACATTTGTGTTTTTTCAGTAATGTTTATGTCATAAACTGTCCTGTCTTTTCTCTGCCGTTAACCTGACAGCTTCCTAAGAGACAGAAACTCTGTACATATGTTAGTGTACTTTCCTTTGGCTTCCCAAAATTGGTCTATTGTGGGTAAAATCAGATACTACTACAATGTTATAACTCCTGCAGTAAGATTCTCTTAATAGTTTAAAAGCAATGTACTATATGGGTAGTGCATCAAATTCAACCTAAGTCAAACTGCCTAATAAAAATAATTATAAAAGCTGGGGATGCCAGAGAAACAATTCACCCATCCAGGTTAACTGTGTTAATTGTGTAAGTGTGGTTAATAAAATGAGGCTTCAGAATCTTGAAGGTCAAGAATGACAGAGAATAAGGAATTTCAGCATAAGTGGCCCTCCCTCTAGAGCAGTGCTTGTTCAACAGAAATACAATTCAAGACATATATATAAGTATAAATTTTCTAGTAACCATATAAAAAAAAAACCACAGGTAAAATTAACTTTAATAATATATTTTATTTACCTCAATACACCCCAAATATTTTCAGTTTAATAAGTTATAAATATAAACAATTATTAATTAGATATTTTCACTCTTCTTTAAAACACTAAGTTTCTAGAATCCAGTGTGTATTTTGTTTCTGCCACACTACGTGGCTTTTTGGACCTTGGGCCCCCGGTAGCAGAAGCGCAGATTCCTAACCACTGGACCAACAGAGAATTCTTGGGACAGCACAGATTCTTAATCTACATGGCATACCAAATCCTGAACCACTGCTCTAGAGACAATACTACTACCTTGGTGCTCTAATTTTATAAGGATTGAACTACCTTTCTAATACCTGCCGGTGACAGATTTATTGGTGGGGAAAGCAAAACATGTAAGCAGCAAGTGGTCTACTAATCACACAGGACATACCAATGATTTTTGACCCATCGTCTTCCACATCTGAGAGGTCCATGTCTTCCACATCACGATTATCTGTCGCAGGCTCAGGTGTGGCAGATTTCTCACTCTCTGCGTTTGGTGACTGGGATTCCTCACCTCCCATTCCCTGGAAAGGGGACTCAGAGCCAGTTGGGGAGGGAGCATCCACGCTTGGGGAAGGGACTGGTGATTCCTCAGGATCAGGAAGGGTTGACTTCAATTGATCCAGCTTTTTCTTTAAATTGTTCACTCGATTAGCAAAGGTTTTATATGCCTAAAAGAGAAAAAAAGAGTTTACTCCTCTGAGAAGTAACCAAGAAGCTACCATTCTGACTCGTTCAGATTTCTTCATTATTATTAACTGTATCACTGGTATAAAACAACAACATATCATCTGTCAAGCATAGAACAGTTTCCAATCACTGCTTCTTCTATTTCCTAAGTCATTATTACCATCCACAGTTACCCAAGGCAGAAACTTAGAAGTTATCTGTAATTCACCCTCCCCTGCTCTCTTCTATCCCTCCAGGCAACCGATATTTATCAAGAGCCTAAATGTGCTGGCCAACCTTCTAGGTACTAGAGATACAACAATGACTAAGAAGACAAAAATTATATCCATAAATAAAGAAGTTTGAGAGGTCAAACACTATTGACTTAAAAAAAAAATAAACTTTATTTTTTAAAAGTTTTAGGTGTACAAAATTACTGTGAAGATAAAATAGAGAGTTCCCATATATCATACACCCAATTTCCCCTTTTTTTGGCCATACGCACAGCATGTGGGATCCTAGTTCTCTGATCAAGGATCGAACCCATGCCCTCTGAGTGGAAGCACAGATTCCAAACCACTGGACCACCAGGGAAGTTCGCATTTTCCCCTATTATTGACACCTAACATTAGTATGATACATTTGTTACAATTAATAAACCAATTTTGATCATAATTATTAACTAAAGCCCACACTTTATGAATATTTCCTCAGTTTTTATCTGATGTTGTTTTTCTATTCCAGGATCCTGTAATGTAGTAGTCATATCTCCTAGGTTTCTCTTGTTTGTGGTAGTTTGCTAGATGTTCCTTTCCATGTTTTTGATGAACCTGACAGTTTTGAAGAATACGGGTCAGGTATTTTGTAGATAGTCTCTTAACTGAGGTCTGTCTAATGTTCTCCTCATGATTAGACTGGGGTTATGGGTTGTGGGGAGGAAGACCACAGAGGTAAAGTGTAATTGTCATCACATCACTTCAAAGGTACATACAGTCAACATGATGTACCACTGTTGTTGTTAACCTTGATCATCTGGCGTAAATCCTACTAGTCATCTGATTATCTTAACTGCCAATGTCTTGAAACTCTGTCTTTTTCTTTTGGTTAAGGGTCTTGGACTATTAGATCATGGAATCATTTCAGTTGGTTGAGCAAGAAGCATTATTTTTAAAATGAAATGGGGGACTTCCCTGGCAGTACAGTAGTTAAGAATTCGTGCTTCTAATGCAGGGGGCGTAAGTTCAATCCCTGGTTGGGGAAGTAAGATTCCACATGCCATGTGGTGGGGCAAAACAAACAAACAAAAAAAAGGGTGTTGGAGGGTAGAAAATAAAATAATATACTATAACTGGGCTTTTGCTTCTGGATATAATTGAGTAGTTTGTAGCAACGCAATGCTCCCATCAAGAACAACTAGAAAAGATAGATATATACATACACCTATCTATACCCTTTCACAAGCACACACATAAACACATGCACTTGAATGCAGAGAGCTAAGGCAACCAAAACTCAGGTGGCAAATTCTCCAGCAGGGGGAAACCATGCGTAAAGTCAAGCTGACATTCTGCAGCTGTCTTTCTCTTAGAGTCCTGCTGATATGGGGGAGCTAAGCAAGAATCTGAGAATTCAGGCAAAAGAAAAAGGCAGAGGGTTACTACTATAATATAAAGAAAAACGCAGAACTTTTAACAGTCTTGCTGGCCTATAGAAACATTAAAAAAAATTAGAAAGGCCAAAATTCTGATGAAAAAGGACAGAACTGGCTTAACAATATGTTACTGTTCTTCCTTCAAGATATTTGTTGATAGATAACCAGCAAGGACCTACTGTGTAGTACACGGGAACTCTACTCAGTATTCTGTAATAACCTATATGGGAAAAGAATCTGAAAGAGAACAAATACATGTATATATGTAACTGAATCACTATGCTATATACCTGAAACTAACAAAACATTGTACATCAACTATACTTGAATTAAAAAAAAAAAACCACATTATTTGCTGAATTAAGCAGAAAATTTCTGAAAAGTAAAGTGGAGTTAAACACAGTCTCATGGTACAGAAGAGACAAGGATTAGAGTTCAAATCACACAATGAAGGAAGGGGCCTAGTGATCCACCCAGGCTCTCGGTGGGAAAAATCTGTGATCCAGAAGCTGGATGCATCAGAGAAAATCAAAGGCTTCCCCAAACTGCAATTCAGCCTGAAGCCTGATTATTCAGCCAAGTAATTAATCATACTTGATTAATATGATTACCTCTCACAATACTGCCTAGCAAAAGAAAGGGTGAACCCTTTCTGAAGGAAAACAAATCACCGAGACTCTATAGAAATGTATTTATATACAATGCTCAGTATTCAATAAAAAATCAGCAAGGATGCCAAGAGATAGGACCAAATGGCCTCAAAGGAAAAACAGACACTAGGAACATAAAAATAAGTATATTCAATATTGGAAGCATCTGACAAAATCCAAATCCATTTATACGTTCAAGAAGATACAGAAAAATATATATCATCTTGAACAATTCAATCCAAAATTCATCAGAGCAAGAGCTTAAGGGTGCCTAGGTTAGGTAATGGAGCCAAAATGGGGTAAGGAAAATGACTGCATGGGAGGAAGGCACTGCATGGGAAGTTGAAGCCTAAGCAAGATAAAAAGAAAGCCTATGGGGCTTCCCTGGTGGTTCAGTCCACCTGCTAACGCAGGATACACAGGTTCAGGATATATGCTGTAGAACAACTAAGCCCTGACTGCGTGAGCTGCAACTGTTCAGCCCACGCACAACTACTGAAGCCCACACGCCCCAGTGCCCATGCTCTGGAGAAGAAGCCACAACCACGAGGAGCTGTGCACAGCAACTCAAGAGCAGCCCTGCTTGTTCCAACTGGAGAAAAGCCCGCACAGCAACAAATGCCCAGCACAGCCCACAATAAATACAATTATTATTATTTTTAAAAAAAAGAAAGCCTACAGAGGTGATGGGAGGGATCCAAGTGCTGGAAAATTGGTTATACACATGGGTAACGATCAAATAAGCAATTATGTTGAAGATAAGGGGAGCAAGATTTTGCATTATTAGAAAAAGCAATTACAAATGTGGAAAGGAAGAAAACTAGAATGAACCTTGTAGTGTTGGATTAGGACTGGAGATAACAGTGTGAATAGATGGTTTCTAACATGCATAGACAGATACAGAAATATATACAGATGTGAATGTGAGTATGTAGGTTAAGTATTTATGCATATATTTCCTAGCTCTGTACACTGATATGGTCTGGCAGCAGTGATATCCCAACAGGAGTAAATACACCTAGTATTCAGATCTCGGTTTCAAAAATATGGTTTTTTACTAAAAGGAACCAAAACTCCTTGGAGAAATAACTGATTCCAAGCCTGGATAGAAAAGTGCAATATGAACTTGGAATACCTTGCTCCAAAAGTAAGGAAACACAAAAAACAATGCAGACATGTCAAAAGAACACAGAAAGCAGCTTGAAAGGAGCTCCCGCTGGCCACGTGGGATAATTTGAGCATCAAAATAATTATTTCGTAATGAGTTAGTAGTTAGCAATGAATGTAATTAGTAGGGCTTCCCTGGTGGCTTAGATCATAAAGAATCTGCCAGCAATGCAGAAAACCCGGATTTGATCCCTTGGTCAGAAAGATCCCCCAGAGAAGGGAACAGCAATCCACTTCTGTATTCTTGCCTGGAGAATTCCACGGACAGAGGAGCCTGGCAGGCTACAGTCCATGGGTTGAAAAGAGTTGGACACGACTGAGTGACTAACACTCTCACTTTTACATTCTGGAGGCTAGAAGTCCAAAATCAAGGTACAAGCAGGGCTACGATCCCTCTGAGACTGGGCAGAACTCTTCCGTGCCTTTTCCTAGCTTCTGGTGGTGGCCATCAACCCTTGGCATTCCTTGGTTTGTCAGATGCATCACTACAATATCTGTCTTGGTTGTCACACGACATTCTTCCTGTGCATCCAAATTTCCCTCTTCTTATAAGGACTCCAGTGATACTGGATTGAGGCTATCCTAATGATCTCCCCTTAACTTGATCACATCCATAAAGTCCCTATTTCCAAGCAAGGTCATTTTCATGTGTACCAAGGGTTAGGGCTTCATCATCATTTTCTTTGGGGGGTACATAATTCAACCTACAGCAATTACCAAGTGAAAACTTTTCAGTGGACAAGCTGGGAAGATGCCACTTTAAATTAAGATATCAAAGGGAATGTTATAGGTAGTAAAACAAATCAAACCTGTGTGCTAACTGAAAGGATGAAATGAGAACACAATCACTTCTATGATATTCTTACTAAAGATAGATAACCTCTATTTGATCACAAAGAAACATCATATAAATCCAAATTAGGAGACACTGGACAAACTATTTGATATGTAACCTTCAAACATATTCAGGTCATGAAAATTAAAAGACCAAGGAACTGTTCCAGATCAATGGAAAAAAGAGAGAAATGCAATAAATGCAACTTGTAATTATGGATAGGAGCTTTTGCTATAAAAACTCGTCAATCTGAGTAAGGGCTGAGGATTAGATAATAATAGTACATCAATGTGTTAAATTTCTTATGGTTATGTAAGAGAAAATTACCTTGGAGGAAAACACACATGAAAATATTTGGGGGTAATGGGGTGTCTGCAACTTATTTTCAAATGATTCCCCCCAGAAAGGTCTTCATAATGTACTTAAGATATTTGAGAATTTTACAAAATAAAGACTGAAAAAAAAATAAGGAAAAAATTAAAAATAGGTTAACAGAATTTCACTATAAAAATAGAATCCTTTCTATCAAAAAAAACATCAAATGGCAGTTCTAAAACTGAAAAATAAGCCAACTAAATTAATCAATCGGTTAAATAATAGATAAAATTCGGCAGAAGAAAGAATTAATGCATTAGAAGACTGGTTAGTAGAAAATATCTAGAAGAGAAGCAATGAAGGGAAAGAATGGAAAATACAGAA